ATTTATCTTACAGGTATCGGAAACGAAGGTGTATAAACGAAGATGGTTGATCCTGATACTATTCGTGCTGTACAGCGCGAGCAACGCGATGCAATGGATCCAATACAGCATCATATCGAACATCGTGATGTCGTATTACAACGTCTCAAGCCTGTTGGTGGACATGACCAGCATGATATACATGATAACTTACATTCCGTTCATCTTCCCGGCTAGCTATCTTCTCGACAGATTCGTAAGTGGCGTCGTACGAATTCCTAATCGTCTAATTAAACACGAAAGACGTTTTGTAAACAAATGATTGATACGTCTGTTTGAAAATTCGCGTATTAATCTAATCAGTTTCGCTATCGACGTCCATATCGCGTTAAATGCAAATAACAACGCGCGTTTTTCATTTCCGTTGCACTCAGAAGGTCTTTGATAAACGAAGCGAGAGAAAAAGTGCATGAAAAAACAAATTCACTTTATTTACATGCTTCATCGACTTATCTGAAGTTTTTTTTACGTGAAAGGATAGAAAACTTATGTAATTCATTTCCGTGGAACGAACATTAAAGTTTCTCATAAAGACAAATTATTTTTTGATCATAGGGACTGAGGTTCGCCGCACTGGCCGGCGCGATCGGCACGACGCTCGGTTCCTGGATAAAAGTGGCCAGCGTCAGTCCGGATCGATTCTGGATCACTTTCATCGGTCAAGCATCCGTCGCCGTGAGTCAAACGTTCGTCTTATCAGTGCCAGCCCGTTTAGCGGCTGTTTGGTTCGGCCCGGATCAAGTCAGCAGTGCTTGCAGCATCGGCGTTTTTGGGAATCAGGTCGGTCTTCTCTTTTTTCAATCTCACGAAGCTCAAATGAAACTAGTCTCGTCAGTGAGACCAATTTCAAAGAGGCTTTGATCTTCTATACGCTTCCTCCCCTAACATGATTTCCGAATGCGCGCCAATTAGGCTCATTTCCTGCGACTCTGATGGCAAATTGATTTAAGCACCCTCAACCCTGAAACACCCTCTACGACTTCCTCTTTGGCTGGCTTTCACCCTAGTTCATTAATTCCACTTCACCCAGAAAATACACCAGTCTCATTATTATAACCAGATCCCTGTTTCTAATCTATGAATTCATTGATTCACAACTGCATACCATGTTAGAATAAATTATACCGATACAAAAATCGATCGAAGATCTTCTCTTCGTGTTAGAATACGTAATTTTGACCCGTACGACACATAAATTGACCCTTGTGTTACATTAATTATTGAATAGTATCTATGCCAATCTCAAATGAGACTCGAGTGAGTTCTACCTGCAGTCCAATTGTAATCGAGGGGGATAGGGTCGTCGGCGAGTTAAACAGAACGATTAGGTGGGAAACAGAGTTCGGCTTAGCACCCACGTTTCATTTCGCGATTACCTAAAGGGGAGATCCGGACCCCATTCAAGGAATTAAATGTACTACATTTCAGACGTAACACCTGTTAGCTCCGACGTGTATTCTCAAGGAGTTTGCTTTATTTCTGATTCATAAATTATGCGCCGTTTTTTGGAAACCTTGTTAAGAAGCTACGGTAGTCACGTGACTTTTTTTATTTCAGACGTGATTATTTCTATTTCAGCTCGTTCGATCCACTGTTACTTTTCAATTTACTGATACAGAAAATTGTTAAAGAATACTGGATACGACGTGGTGGTTATTAAAACAGTCAGCTGATACATTGGAGAGATAAAAATAGTAAATTGGTATTCGTTAAAGCGGTGTCGTCGTGAAATTGATACGAATGATCATTGACCTTGTCATAGGCGAAGCTATAAAAGTTTGCGTTGATTCTCGCGGAGCTTTTCGAGAGCGGAACTCTCTCGGCCGGGAATCGCTCGTGATGGGCTTGAAAGAATAATGATCTCTCGCTTCCTTGGAACAATAATGGACGTCTCGTGTCTCCGGCTGAATTATTTCATTATGAACTCCCCAACAGTTTATATATAGCCTTTCTCTTTGATAAAATTAATATAGGGACACGTATTCCTTTCTCTTTTGTCAACAGAAAGTCTCATCCTTCTGATCGCATGTACAATTACTTTCTCTGATTAAAATATAATTTTTCCGTCACTTTTAATTCTTTTTAATCATCGTTATTTGCAGTTAGGAATAGCCATCGGTTTCCTGTTTCCACCGATGCTGGTACAGAACAGCGAAGACATGAACATTGTTGGTCGAGGACTGCAAGTGATGTTTTACATAGTGGCCACTTTCACCACGATCATCCTCGTTCTCATCGCCTTGTGTACGTACGATAATAGCAGACCCGATATCAAAGGATTAATTTATACTATAAATTTTTTAAATTACACTTCAAGCCATCCATAATGCAGCAAAGAATTCTTACAATATTCCTCTGAAACGAGAATCTACGTGATCCTTTCTTTGCAGTTTTCAAAGCCGAGCCACCGTTACCACCGAGTACGGCTCAGGCCGTACAAAGGGACTCGGATACTCCCGCAAATTTCTTCCTCTCTGTAAAGAAGCTAGTCACAAACGTCGGGTACCTGTTGCTGCTGCTCAGTTATGGCATCAACGTCGGCGTGTTTTACGCGATCAGCACGCTGCTCAATCGCATCGTTCTTCAATATTTTCCTGTAAATATTTCTTTCTCGTGTTTCGACATGTTTTCATTCTTGGGTAATAAATGTTCATTGATTGCGTTTAGGGTCACGAACAGGACGCTGGGAGGATCGGTTTGACCATCGTTTGCGCTGGGATGTTGGGCTCTGTTATGTGCGGCATAGTACTCGATAAAACGCATAGGTTCAAGTAAGTTTTTCTATCATATTAAATACCAGCAGCTTCCCAATCGCGATTTCGGTTGCGTGTTTCTTCCTCGTTACAGTTCAAGTCATTGTATGAAGAGATAAAGTCATAATGGTGTAATTCACTTTTCGCAATTGAAAGGTACCGGAAATGGTACAGCTGTCCTGTTAATATGGCCACATTATGCTGCTATCAATTTGCAAGGTAGATGAGCTAGAACTTACTTCACGTTTCCGTTAAACGCATTAGTATTCGTAGTGCAAGTTACAACTTGACTGAAAAGTGACTTACGCCATTAAAGCTTTTACCCCCTCATATAGAAATACAGTGATATTTTGGTATACAAAAATTAAAAAGATACAAGACATTTGTCATACGATGTTCTGAATGATCTCTCAATATTTTTTCCAACAGCAATCGAACACCCTGTATAATAATATGATTCTGATCTATGCATTTATGATTCAATAATAATTGTTCAATGACTTTACAGAGAGACGACGTTGGGAGTCTACATTCTGTCTTTCATAGGCATGATCATCTTCACATTTACGTTGGACTCTGGTTACATATACGTTCTCTACATAACTGCTGGTATGCTAGGGTAAGTTGTCCTTAGACATCGCTACAACAATTGCTTCACGAACATTTCCAAAATAGACGATTGAAAAACGTTGCAGATTTTTCATGACTGGCTACCTTCCCGTGGGTTTCGAATTCGCGGCGGAGCTGACGTACCCAGAACCGGAGGGTACATCCGCCGGATTGCTGAACGCCGTGTGCCAGGTGTTCGGCATAATCTTCACGATCCTCTACAGTTGCGCGCTGGACTATCTGGGCGACTTTTGGGCAAACATATTCCTCTGCAGCACACTGGCTTTCGGCACTCTCCTCACCGTCATCATTCCCAACGATCTTCGAAGGCAGAAAGCCAAGTTGTAAGCGCTGGACCGTTTATCGTCGAAGATCGGCAAGTATAAAGCTACGCACGGTCGACTAGTCTCCTTTGTGATCGATTAATCCGAGTTGAAAGAAGAGAATATTTTTTATTAAGACGGACGATTAATTATTTAAGGCTGCCTGAGTTTAAAGAGTGGCAAGTAAAATCCCTTCTTTAGCTCGTGTCTACTGTTATTATTATCATTGTTAATTTATTTTTATATTTAATCGTTCTGTTGGGTATAAATGATGTAAAGACAGGCAGATTAATTCTAAGAAAATCTTAACGAGGGCAATATAAAACGACAAGCTATTTTCGAGCATGTCTCACGAATCTAATTTCAATTTGAAAAATTGATAATAAAAACGGTAGAGCAGACAATAACGCGTCGGGCATGGTTCAAGATCTGAGTTGTTGGAAGGTTCCCTCGATTTAGTGCCAACGAGAATGCTTCCGGATACGTGACATTCGAGTTAAGATGTAATCCGTTTCGTTTCTTGTTCCCCAGTGATTCTACCACTTGGTCAAATGGCACGAGTCTCACATTGTGTTCTGAACATGTCACAGGTTCTCCCGTTTCTTCCGCGTAGTCTTAAGAATTGCCCATAATTTCCGAAAGACATTCCAAAACTCTTTCTTACCACTAAGAGTTTCATGAAACAAAGTAGCCCGACGATTTTTGCTTCGAACTTATTTAACGAATTGTCAGTTTAGACATTAACTCGGGTTTTGAAATCGTAAGTAACGCACGTTAGTATGAGAGTGTTTAGTATTTTTATGAATCAGCCATTCCGAACGGGAAACTGAACGACATAGTGAGAAGTTTAGAATAGTATTTCGTGGAACGAAACGAAAATCTGCGATATCACAGATGATATATGATACGCTCGTAGCGTTTAGATTGTTGGAAAAATACGATTACGGTGCTGTGCACCTAATTAATACGTAAAATCTACTTATTCTTGTTAATGTATGTGTTAATCAATGAAATTGAACACGTAGAGTAGGTATTTAAAATCTTAGCGAATCACACGAAAGCCTAAAATTAACGAAACACGATAAGCACAAGATTTTCAATTTCCTTTTTTTTAGCGACTATTTCGTTTGATCATTTGCAACAAGACTGACGCAAGAGGGTAAAAGAAATTACGAACGATGAGATGTAACGACCAGCATTATAAATATTTTATTACCTTAAGTTTAATGAAATTAATTTAGTGAAAATGAATGGCACAAGTCGTTCCCATCTTTAAATTGGCAATAACATTACTTTACGCTGCCTGTGAACATTTTCAAAATTTTACTCACCTCAGTTTTGCCTATTCTCAAAAGAGAATATTGTAACATTTTTTCATTACAAGTATTTCTATGCCACACGATATTTCTATGTGGAGGGTAATAATTTCTTAGTTATTCTGTGACCTAGAAACGCGCCACTGGAAAAGTGAATTGGCTGAGCAACTCGATTTACTAGCTGATCGACTTGAGATTCTTAATTAAAATTGCTCCGGCAGCGAACCAGCGTTAGGGAAAAATCAATTATCGTCGCGCGAATAGACCGTTCTGTGGCGACCTAAACTGATATCAGAAATTGATTTCCCTATCAATCGTGGAAAGATTGTTTCTCAGGTGCTGTTCAAGTATTATTCGACGTCACATTTTTCGACTGTATCATTCGTTTGGTGCCAATTTTCTGTGGAACAATTCGTTTCGAAGTATACGACACGACAATAATGATTGTACCTCCGTGTACGAACTAAACTAAAGTATTATACGTGCGGATATGTCGTAGCCGTAATTGTTGTAGAATTGTTATCACCGATCTATGTGTGCTATTTTTTATAGGAACGTATTATATCGTGTGTCCTAAAGTTGCGGGGGCCATAAGTTCGAGAATAATCGACAATAAAAAATATATTAGTAAGGGACTTAAGGAGCATCGACACAGGGCGTAATTTTCTTCTATTTTTGTAAGAGTCTCTGTAGTACAAACGAAACGAGGATTGCAACATATTTTCTTTCAGAGTAATTCTATATCTTTCATATACACATATATATATACATATATATATACATATATCAATATTTTCTTGTTTAAAGAATACGTCAGAGCAACAAGTTAGAAGAAATTTCGAAACTAATATATTTTTCAATGATGTTAGTCAATTATAATTATCACCGATTGTTATATTTTGATGAACGGTTCGAAAGAGATGATGGCACACGCGTATATATGTAGTTGTGTATGCGGATTTGTTTCCTTGAAATAGTAAGAAGAAACGTGTGCATGTATATTTTATCTAAAAGCGTTGTATCCTTGTGCAAGATGTTCAAGCACGTGTTTTATGAATTGAAGATCAACTTTTTCGCTATGTACCTGAACTGTTCTCCACAATATCTGTTTCCATCGAACGTTCTCAGACACGAATTTCGATAATCAATGGAAATGCAATTTAGAGATTAATGGAATAAATTGTATTCTACTGTTTAAGATTTTTAGTGTTAGAAGATCGTCTTTATTTTTAAATGCAAAATAGCGAAAGGGTTGACGAGTTCAAATGTTATAACGATAGTTATACCTGGATGTGATGTGAAGGACAATATTAAGTAACTGTTAACGTGTGCTAGTTTATAAAATATACATATATATTATATATACATACCTGTTGTTGAACGATTCATTATATATATACGTGTACGGAAAATATTTTATTGTAAATATGCAATCGGAGAACTCCGAGCGGATGCGTGCTTCTATCCGTCAGAGAATACAGAAATCGTATGTAGAGAAACCAGGGAGCCGATTAACGAATGGAATGATTGACTACGATCTCGTTTAATTTTGCTGTATCAGCAACTTGTTTTTTTTTTTACCGAGGCGAGACAATTTTTGCTGTGCGAATGAATGGTTTGAACTTTGTTTCTCTGATTCTCGAGTCGAGCCACGATTTTTATACTATAGAATCGATTAAGCTGTAAAGATCGATTCATTGAACGAGAAGAGGAAAAGAATCGATCGAGACGAAACATGTAAATGATAATATTTCATTGTTTCTTCTACAACGACGCATTTATTCGTTAGTTTGCCAGTTCGTAAGTAAAAAAAGAGTAATCGTCGAAACGCGACGAATTTTCTTCTTCCAGCGCATAAGACATCTACAGTGACTCCCATTAATATTCAGACATATTTGAAAACGGGATAACTTTTGTATTATTGGATGAGACGATTTAATTT